GAAAACCACACTACGGGCTTTTACACAAACATGTGGTGGCTTTCGATTATGCAAAACGGAAGCAAATCGAAATCATTTGCGTGTCGAGAGCTGATAACGTAGATTGGAAAAAGGCGGGAGGGAGCGTAGTGTAATAAAAATCCATCCGATCGACGTATATATCTTACTTTTAATAGCTATTTAATCTAACTCACATGCGCGCATATAGATAGATTTCTCTCCTCGATAGAGTTCATCTAACACCGATACTATTTGATTAAGTATTCGTGTACGTGTGTGTGTATGTAATTCCGGGCCAAGGACAAATCCATCGAGCCCTGTTTCTTTCCTTACCCCACTCACACAATTCGAGCCTCGTCATTCTCCACCTTAGTAATATTCGTCTCGATTCTCACATTGGAATAGCGTACGTATACGAAGAAAAATGTCGTGCTAAGAGCCGGAAAAAGTCGAGAAAGAAAAAGACCGGGAGGCAAGATCGAGGATAGCGGATATTCATATTCATGCGCACTAGGAAACACGAATTTTCTCCATTTGTATTTGTATATGCTTTCTAAGCGGAGACATGAAAATTGCACTTTTGTGCGGTGATTGCTCATTCACACAGCGAGAAGCTCTCGCGATGATTGTCCGTACGAACGAACACGCTTTTGTTTCGTAATCAAGTATCAGTGCGTTAGGTCATTAAATCGAAAAAAAAAAAAAAAAAACTAACCGAGCGATTGAAATTTGAACACGCCATTGAGTCAAATTCTTTGTTGAAAATCGAGAACAAATTAAGTAACAAAAAGAAAAGGGAGCGTTAATATAAATATAATATTAATTTGGGAATTCTTTTTTTTTTCTATATACTATATAGTATCAAAAATGAATATTTCCATGATATTTGGCGAGCAGCGGTTATTTCCTAAACCTGCAGCAAATATTTAATACTGTTACGTGAATATTTTATTGTTTACGCGCAAATATCGTGTATGGAGATTTCACAATCAATTGCACCACGCTCGCTCGTGCGCTCGTGCACACCGGAATTCTGCACCGAGGTGCAGATTTTATGGACCGATGCGTCGATTCGATCGATGTGGACCGCGCAACACAATGCCGCTTTGTGTTTGCGCGAAACAACGCGCATCACGAAATCCGGTAGCGATCAACTCGTTTGCTTCGAAGAATAAAAAGCGGAAGTGTTTGATATCATTAAAAGCTCAAACGGTAAATTTTTTACGTTTGTATTTTCATACACGTGTGCGCGTGCGCGCGTGCGTATTTACATGTATGTAAAAACATACATCTCGCGAACTACAGAAAAGTGATCTGTACGGCTTTAAAGATTCATCAAATATTCCGTTTCGACCGATCTTCGTGTGCGTTTTCAAAGCACTCGAAAACTACCGAGCTACTTATCTGAGAGCTTCCGACCACGAAGAAAGAAGACCACTGTGTGGTTTTTTACGGTGGAATAAAGAAAGGAAAACTATTCGAGAGAAAAATTTCTTTTGAACGCGCGCGCGCGCGCGTTGCCACTTGACTATTCGCCTTTGCGACTTGCTCTTTTGTTCGTAAGACCGCGTCGACAAAGTACTACTACTACCACTGATGGAAGAGAGCGCGATTTCCAATAATACCATTGTAAACGCTTCGTCGCGTTGTATGCGAAGCGCGCGAGTTGAACACCAAGTTGAACGAACATGAACTTTTCCAGCGAATTCCACTCGTGAACGCAAACGAGTGACGCGCGCAAGAAGAAATATTTCGTTATCACGGATCAGAGATCTTGACAGAATACGAGCTGTCAATATATATTAGCGCAACGGTTTTGAGTGTGTCATATTTTTTTATTACTCTATTCTCTGTCACCATGTGAAAAAAAAAAGTTGTAGAAATTCGAAAACCAGTAGAAATCGTTCAGAAAACACGTTCATTCCGTAAAGATTGAAAACAACACTTATCGATATTGTGCAAAAAAGATATAAAAATTGTGCGGCAACAGAAACTCGCGCACGGGGACCGCGCGGTAGTCAATATTTGCGAAATGTGAGGATAACTCTCAGCGAGATCGAAATAACGTGTACATGTATCTCCCGTATATATCTTCGCTTCGCGAAGATGAAACGAGAATGAGGAATATTTCAAGTAAATAAACGCGCTGTACGCGCGTTTTATTCCCCAACGAGCGTGTGTTTTCCACAACGAGAGATAAAAGCGAGGGAGAGAATGATGAGACGACGCGCTAAAGAAGTTGTATTTCGACGTTCTTATTATTTACACGTGTAATCTTTAAGAAAAGCGCTCCGTTACTCACGAAAACGTCTGATGCATATATACATCGACCGTAGCGATTTCTCCGGTTTCTCGGACGGAAAAGAAAATAGAGAAGGAACATTTTCCCCTCAAAAGAAATCGCGCAAAGAGAGCACATATAATAATAGCACATAATTTTCTGGTTATCGTATCTCTTCACTGGCGGAAAATACGTTGCAGGACTCTCCACGAGCTAAAAAGTATATCGCGATAAGAAGGTGCATGAATGATACAATGGCAATTTCCGGGAAAATGGGCGAAAGGATATACGTCGCGCGGTTATCTCTATCTGTATCACGCGCGCGCAGATAACGCCCTCGCGGCGGGAATCGAATTTTCTGTAAACGCGTAGGACGACTTAACCGGAGAGAGAGCGCAATCAAAGGTACCAATGTCGACTCAGGGAAATTAACCAGCAATAATACGTGTGCGTTTGTAGTTGGCACAAACGCGAATTAAATTAAAGGAATTTTAATTCACCATTTGGTCGCTCGCGCGGAAATATCAACGCACGTCATGACAATATTTTCCCGCAATTGTTGCTATTAAAATCGTATTATATATGTTATTATTATCGTCAAAGCTCGTTTCATTTTTCTAAATTGAAATTATACAATGTTATTATTACTTTTGTTTGTGTTATATCAAAAATTGAAACTCTGCTGCGAGCAGAATGGCTCGCTCAATTTAGACGAATAAACACGCGTATATTAGTGTTATGTGAACGAATAATTTCCAGATTTGTTTCTTTTTATGATAAAATATGTTTGTTTAAAATACCTTACTTTCAGTGTCGTCGGTTTTCTCTTTCTCTCTTTCTCTCTCAAATTTTAGAGTTTCACGCTCTAGAAACTCGCGGAACGTGCATCACGAAGTCTGCGTGGAAGTATGTGTGTGTCAACGTACAAACATATAGGAACATTTCATTTGCGAAGGCAAAAAGCCAGCCTGGCTTCAGCATGTTGCGCGACGTGTTGCGAGGTTTCAGAACATTTCGTTCTCGTTGCGCCGCAAACTTATTACGCGCGACTCTTTTCCTCGCGTCTGATATACGTGCAATCTATGCACTTTCTCTATTCCGCGCTACGCGCCGTTAAAAAGATTTTACGTGTTCTTACGAAATGAAATACATCGTTACGCGGACCCAAGTTGACTCGTATCGCGAGAAGAATAATGGCGAACACGGGAAGATACAAGCAACGAAAGGGAATCCGTAGCAACTTAATGACGTATTCTCTCTCTCTCTCTTTTGCTCTCATTGGAGGAAAGAAACAATTCGTAAATAAATTCAACGCGAGCGAGAGAGAACGAATTTTAAAGGTGCGAGCCGCGCGCGCGTATAATTCTCTTTCTACGCGAACCACGAAGTATAACAAAGCACGACCTACTTCAAAAGAAATCATTATTTGTCGGCTCGGATACTCGAGCTGCTTCGAATAACAATGGAATACCCGAAACACACTCAGAACGCGTTACACGTTAAAATTGTTTCTGTATTAATCTGACATTACTTGAATAAACACGTCTTGTGATGAAAACAAAGAGAAATCTGATATCTTTGATCAAAGTAAACGCGATTAAAAAAAAGAAACATTTATATTTAAAAGCGCAGACAAATTAACGTCAAATATGATAACGCGCGTGCAACCGAAAGTCGACGCAACCTCTCTTGTTTAATCGTGTTATACAGACGAGTGCATGCTAAATTTCCTACTTGCAAAGCGTGAAATGTCGTTAACCATTTTGCTAATGAATATGCGCATTCGCTCACACTCGCTCCGAGAAACCAAATCTCTATTGTGCGGGGGAACCAAACGGTCAAGCACGAGTGGGCGCAGCGAAATGTTGACACGATATGTGTGTACACGTTCTATCGATATACCGGATGATCGAATCCTCTATCGCGTCCTCGCAATTAAATTCATCTGCTTACGAGAGCACATTGCTGCTGACGCGAAAATGGATTTCACTTGATTTTTTTTGTCAAAGAAATTCTGCGCGCGATAGATATTATTGTTGATACAAGCTACTTTTGCAGAAGCTTTTCGGCACCCTCCGTGTATTTACAAACGGAGCGGATTCAATTAAAACTTTTGCACCGTGAATTTTTTTTCCAAAGCCAGACGGGAAATAAAACAGCGATTAATTTTTCTTCCGACGCAGGGAAGGAGCAGTACGTGTACTACTGAACGGTCGAAATTGTATGTGCTGTAATATGTATATATATATTAAGAGATATATATATATATATAATCTCTGCGCGAACACAGAGATGTTTTTTTTGTTAAAAAGCCGTCCCGATCCGAGCGTGCGCGATGTTACGCGAAAACGGAAGAGCGGAGTCAATATTTACGAAACACGTACGGTAAAGGTTGTTCGACGAGCGCTGTTCTTTCAATTTTATCTATCCGAAGACAGCCTTAACGCGCGACGCTATTTTACGCAACGCTGCGAGGATAACACACGCTGGCGCGTTTAAAGTGACGCGCGTTTGAGACGATAAACGTCTGGGATTCGCTTCGGGGTGTTTCAACGATGAAAAATATAAAAAGACGCTTTATTACCACTCAGCGGAGCAACAAGGGTGATCCGAGTGATTCCTTGGCGTCGCCGATTTCATATATATGTATGTGTACCAGAGGACATCGATTTTCGCGCGCGCGATATATTTACACGGATATTAATAACAGCGGACTTACCGGCACCGAAAGCCTGCTGTCCGTTCTTGTCATCGGTCGGAGTCCCCTCTAAACTCGCGGGACCGCTGTCCGCTCCACCGGTCGCGCTGCAAAAATATTTTTCTCCCGTACACACCACCGTTTAACAAAATTGAACGTCGCTTTGCCCGCGTAATAGCATTGGATCGTTGCATGTGAAATATTGGATTTCGAAAGTTCCAGTTTTATGGAACGCTTTTACAAAGTAAAAATCTTCCGACAAGCGCGTTACAGCGCCGATCGAGCCCCGACGATGATTCTTTCACAAAAGTACACGTTTTTCGGCTGTATCGCTTAACGATCGTTTTTTACAGCAAGTTGGCAAAAAATTAAAAATACGTCGACACGAGAGAAAAAAGTGGATACATCGAAGTTTAATTTAACGTGACACAAATAACACACGTTTCCAACGCGTAACCTTTTTACTCTTCCGTATATTTTCAACCTTCGCATTTGATTAAAAATAACACAACAAACACAAACAGCTTCTCGTTCTTGTGGAAAAAAAAGAACGTGTGTATATTACTACGTTTTATTTTCTCTTTATTCCATTTTCTTGGGAATCGACGTAATAATCGCGAAAACTAAAGCCGCATATCATATGCAACGATCCAATGAAATATGAATACGATTATGTCATCACGGTCTCACACTCACCTGCTCGCGTCGTCGTCCTTCACTTGCTCGCCGGCAGGAGCCTGACTCTCTTGAGGTAATTGGGTCTCTTCCGACTCGGCTGTTGGCGGTTGGGCCTCACCCTCACCCGCCCCAGCGCCGCGGCTCAGTCCGGGTATACCGCTGCTCAACCAGCCAGACATTTGATTTTTTACTCCGGCGAACATTTCCAGTTTGTTGCCTTTCGGACTGCAACGTAAGAGAGAGAGAGAAACCGCGTAATGTAAATGCGTACGTACAAAAGTTTAAATTTGAATTGGAAAATAATCAAAGAGATCTTTAACAATGTGCGATCTCTCTCTCGAATATGTTTGAAAAGTTGAAAGAGTTTGCGGGAAAAACAAAAAAAAACGTAGAGATATAGAACATGCTGGATATTGTATTATTACTGACGTTGTTCGAGAGCAAATGGCAACATTAATTAATTAGACGTTATAGAAAGACTAATAACAGCGCTCACTATGTAACCAACAGTGAAAACACGCGATTGGTCAATTGCGACATGGATATTACAAAATCTAAACAATGAAAACTTGACGTAAATGTCGCGCAAACAATACACGAATCAACACAACAAAACAACGACAATCAATTAACTACATTGGCTCGAGAAAATCGAGTTATATGAGAAAAACGCTTGGCAGGAAAGGCGATCGGTGTAATCACTTCTTTTAAATTCGCGTGTAAAAGTTCGCCTCGTTTCAGAAACTTTCTTATACCTCGGCCAAAATTTTATGTCCCGCTGGAGAGAAGTTGTAATTTATGTGCGGGATTGTACTATCACACGGCAAAGCGACTAATTACCAGTCAAAGGACACGCGCGAGAGATACGAGACAAAATTCTCCCGCTAGTACTAAAATTACGCTCGAGTTATGAATTTCGGCGGAATTGATAAAGGTTGTCGAGAGACTTGCGGAATGCATTGCGAGAACGAAGATTTACGTCCGGTCTCTCAACTCGTTCATACAACAGAACGATAAACGTTTCGCTTTGCGTAATCTATGCTGTAAATATATTTTTCGAAAATATTTATACGCGCGATAATGAAACTTTAAACATCACTTAAAGAACAAACAGATAATTGCAAAAATAAAAATCAAAATTTAATTCGATGGTATCAAAATCTCTAATGTTAATTTTTCCCAACTATCGCCTATATGTGCACTGAGAAAATATAATAACAATTTAAATACTCGAATTCTCATCGGCACATAATTCCAAGTTGAATCTTCACTGAGAGAACGCGATAGTGATTTATCGCGTGTGAACGAGAGGCGATATTGCGGATGAAACGCGCGCGTACCGCGGTTTCCATTTCGTGAATTTCGCGTGACCGTATATTCGCCAAGTGGACGATCGAACGTTGGAGCGAAAACGGGGAGAGGATTGATTTCGCACCGAGGGTTGCGTGGGTGTGTATACCGATATTTGACGCGCACTGTCAGCGTGCGCGCGCGCACTATTTCGCAACGAGAACACAGAGAGCAAAAACGCAGAGTAGTCCTTGACACACGTAGGTCACGACATTGTGTTGTCAAAATCGCGGAAATAGAGTATACGAACGTTATTACGAGTATTATATAGTATAGAGTATTACGGTCAGCACACGTGCTGGTTGTTATAGAATTGCGCGTTGTACAATAAACAGATTAAATTTGTGCAAAATAAATACGAGAATAACGAAGAGAGAAAAAAAGAAGATTTTATAACATTTGTAAGTTAATAACAAAGATACAATGCGCGCGCGCGTGTGTGTGTGTGTGTGAAGAAAAAAGTATGCAACAATAAAAGGTGAAACTGTATAAAGCAATTTTTTGCAATAAAAAAGTCAATTTGCCGCATTTCTGTTGAATCATAAATAAAACGTCAAACAAAAAATAACGTGACGAACATTGTAACATTCCAAGCGACAAAAGATAGTACGTGTTTTATTATAGAGCAATTTTATAGAGTATATATACATATATGTGTTCCAGCTGTGAATTTGAAATCAATTTAAAACAAACACACAAATTACAGCTGATTGAGTTTTCAAATCAAATATATCGATGATAAACTATATCAGTATATATATATGTGCAATAATATATACATATACAATAATATGAAATTTTAAAGTTTGTGTGTTCGGAGCTGAAACAACAAAGTGCATAAATCGTATGAAACCGATTGTCGGAAGAGACGATGGTATCAAACATTTATGAGCCACATTTGCTGTATCAAAATTGAATAATACGTTTAATATCAGTACAATTCGTATGTTATACAACAAAACTATGTACGTAATATAGTTTGTGTCGATGTATTACTACGTGCGTCGCAAACGATGTATATCTGAATGACGAATTGGTCAATCAAATGAGTTGCGCGAGATAATACGACTAATCAGCGAAGTCAAAGGCATGAAGAGTTTGTTATAGAGAGCTCGAACTTCCTGAATAATTCTGTTCTATTTGCCGATCTCGTTAACTGCGTAACACAGTAACGTCCGTGTGTAAAATGTAACATTTTTCTTTACATAAAAAAAAAAAAAAAAAAAAACACGTAAATTTAAATCATTTCAGAAAATTACTGCTCACAACGCACGTACCTTTTTGTCTTTCTCCCAACTCTAATAGAATTATTTAAAATTATTAAATGATTCTGACGAACATCATTCGATTTCGATTTTGCAATCTCACGTCAGGGTAAGTTTCGAGTAACGAAATATTTTGTGCGAGTATAAACGAATAAAAAAAAAAAAAAGATTGTACAGATATTATTTCTTCTCCAATATGCGTTAATGTGTTTTGTTGTAAAATTATAACAACCTTGAATCAACTATGTATATCTACACAGACTAAAGTGAGAAAGATAAACAGGAAAAAAATTCTAGGAAAATTATGGAAAATTATTCTAGAAAAAGAATAACTGAGAAAAGAGAACAAAACCTCATCGGGATATCGTAGCGTCGCGCTACTTTACGTAAGTCGGGCGTTATTGATCTAATCTCGAAAATGCATTCGGCGAGGTGGTAGTGCCGCCGCTACTTTTAAATACTGTCGCGACGTACAATCAAGAAAACGAAGGAAAAACCATTATCATAATTACGCGATCCGCGAATGTGTGGCGATGTGTGTGTGTGTGTCGTGAGAAAAAATCGCGGAACACACGACAAACGAGTGCCGCGACGACGACGCCCGCAAGTTACGCGCAGTTTTGCACGTCGACATTATTATTATACGGTCAGATAAAAAAGATCGTTACATTCTTGCTACAATTAAATCTTTGCATAAACGCACGCGAAAATACGCCTACGTATAATGCTCGATTTATCTGATACAGCAGCACTGGACTCTCCGCGCGAAACGAAAATCCGGAATCAGCTTTGACATTTCGTTCTAACAAGAACGAAACTTTGATGATGAATTTGCCCACTCCGAGCGAAGTGACAGCGCTACGCGAGAGGAATCGATTTCGCGGCGAGAGTCACGGCTGACACTCGCGACGCACTTCACGATACGCATAGTTTCACGGCAATAAAAAAAAAAAAAAAATGACAGCACGCAAAGCGTTTGTGAATGACATAGAGAAAAAAACACACGTTGACGCACATACGCGGGTCAACGAACCTCCTCGGCAAACGAGAGTTAGCTTTGGCTACCGAACACTAGTGACGTTCGATAAGACTGTTGTTAAGGTTATGTTTTACGTTAAAGCGAGATAACGTACCTGGTGTTGTTCTTTTTCTCGGATTCCGCGCCGCTCTCGGCATCCGGAGAGGCGGGCTTGTGCTCAGGTGTCGTCTCGCTCCCGTTTTCGGGCTTCTTGCCCATCCAGTTGGACACCTGATTCGTCAGGCCGGAGAACATTGTGAGACGTGCGTCGGCAAGTACGATTGACGTCGGCTCCTCTTCCTGTCGCTCGTTCTCTTTCTGTCTCACTCCTCCTCTTACGATCGTATTGATATATATCTCGCTCGGGTTACTCGTCAGAATCAAGCGTAACTGTATCACCGAAGCCCTCGCGGGACCGGAGTGACGACGGGACACGAAATTATCTCGTCCGTCCTCGCGATAGCGCAGCCACGAACTGCGTAAGTCGCGCGTGCACGCGCGCAACTCGCATGGCGCATCGACGCTGGCGACGACCGGCCTTGCGCGGTCGACCGGCGAATTATCAGGCCATCGATTGCGGCGCGCGTCTCCAGTCTCTTTTGGGGAGTATAAATTGTATCAGCGAGAAAAAGCACGATAAGAGATAACAATGTCTGGCGATTTTCCGAACGTACGAGAAAGAGAGAAAGACAGAGAGGGAACAATTGGTTGAAATTTTACAATTAAACTATCTAGATAATCGAGTCGAGAGCACACTTTGTCATTTGCTCTCATATGTTTTATCAGAAAAGTAATACGAGGATTATCATGTAATCTTGTTACTAGAAATTGGAAAGTGACTCATACTCATTTGAAGGTTTCTTGATTAATAATATTTACTTATTAATAGTTTATTAATAATAGTTGCTTTTTCAGATAGGAAATCTCTCGTAATCTCCCTCGATCTTTGTTTTGAAAAGAAATTTTGTAAAACATTAAAATATATTGAATATTGAAACTAAAAAAGTGCAATTAAAAGAATTAACTATTTATAAAAAAAAACATTGTACCCCAACAGTCATTAATCACCTTTTTACAAAGATATACGCACGCAAGTTTTTAATTTTTTAATTTCAAAGTAAAAAGAGCGAAGTAAAGAGAGCACTTAACGGGTGTTGGTTGTACCTGACAAATTGAAATTTCTGTCGTTTAATCTGCATGATGTCGCGACTAATGCATCATCCAGGAAACGTGATAAGACTCATTAATCAAATAAAACATCTTGTCCTTCGATCGGTCGATTTGCGAAGTATTCGTGTTTACTCTGCGCTCGCGGAAGGTACGAACAGCCTCATATTATTCTCGTTGTTAAGAAAAAAAAAAAAAAACGCGATATCTAACGCGCTATTTTTCCGTTGCGCGTGCAACAGACGAGAAGGTGTAAACGCGCCCTTTTATATTGCATCTAACACGACTTACCGTTATCCGATGTTCGCATAGTCGGACATTAAACTTTAACGTTCGGATGCTATATACACGGTCATGTTGCGGCGGTCGGAGAGAGTGAGCGGTTGAGAAAAAAATCGCAGTGTGTTTTCACAACGTAATGATATATTATTAGATAAAAATAACTGTTAGTTTTTATTTCACAACTGATCAGAGCGAGAGAGTTACAATAATATTGAGCGAGATATACAACAGTTTTGTACACTTGTTCGCTCTTCTCTTAACTGTCGTGGGTCGCTATCGTGTCGATATGTCATGCGGAAGCGCAGCATTATTACGCGACTCGAGGTAGAGCGCACGGTCGAGCTTTGACAGTTAAAGACGTATGCACGTACAGATCGTGTGTGTGTGTGTGATAATCGATGATGACTGATAACGCACAACATGTATGTACACACACGACGACCTGTTCAAAACATTACGTTATTACTTGTTCGATTACGCGTAATTGCTCATTGTGCTAAATCGCATTTGATCTATCCGTATACAGGATACAATTTTGTCGCGTGAATACAGCGTGAACTGAATAACGATATTAACGTGTCGCGTCGCACACGTATCACAGTTTTGGCACCGAGAAACTCAACCGACATTACGACGTAAAAACTTGTGTTTCTTTTGATTTATACCGCGCAACACAAACGGTCGCTCTAAAAGATCTCGCAGAGAGATGTTCTGAAAAATGTCAATTTGTGAAGAAGTCTCTCGAATGATCTTTTGGAGTTGTCTGTTGTGTTGTTTTCATGCGCGATGTCGCATCTATGCTCGAGATTACCGATAGATTGCACGCCATTGTACTATATCTTCACAAAAGTACGAGTGAAAAGTTTAAGTTACAAGAGTTATATTTATATATAACTTAGAGGTATATATCACTTAACTATCTTTTCATTGTGTGTTTGTCTCGCTTCTCACTAGGATATACATTGGTCTCAGATCAAACTAAACGTCGTATTAGATTACGTCGTTCGAACGCGCTAAATAATAACCGTATTTGTTTTGTGGAACGTGAAATAATAAAGAATTAAATATTTGTTTCCTAGGAATGTTTTATCTGTACAATTATCGTCAGTGAGCCGTGCCCGACGAAGCCACCGCCGGTGCCGCCGCTTCCAGAGCTGCTTGTTGGCGCTGATACCTGAAACAAAAATGTCAATCCGATGAAGTCAGAAGTAGAGCCAATGAAAGACAAGTTTTGACACGTCGTGCCCTGTGACATTAAGCGATATGAATAATGCGAAAGGTAATAATGCGCGCGCTCACGCCAACAAAAACAGGAAAAGTTGGCAAATTCGTTCGCGATCGATTCCTTCTGGCAGAGTTAAAAATTTTACAAATCGCGTGGTATGTGAAAATAGCTCGTGTTTATTTTCGGACTCGTCAGTCGATGAAAAACGAGAGAGAGAGAGAGAGAGAGAGAGAAACAATTCTCAGAAGTTAACGACTTTCGAAGCAAAAATACGAATCACGCCGCGAATCCGCTGAATGAAATTGTGCTGAGTGCGTCACCTTAGAGCTCTTGCTACTTGGTATATGGCCGTACACGCCACAAAGAGATTGACGCTAAAGAGATTCCAGTTTTTCGGAATGATGGCTAAGGAGTATCTGGTCCAGATCAACCCGGTGATGCCCAAGGCACAAGATTGGCTGACGGAGATTTTGTTGGCTGGCCTCTGCAGATCACCGAGGCCGGCGATTACGAGACCCTAAATTGAAAAAGAAACGACTGTTACACATTTGTATTACAATAATATAACAAGTCAATTCGCGGGTATGCAAATAAAAACACGTGTGTATGCTTGCGCAGATTGCAACAAATCGACGTATAGCACAACTAAACACAGCATTGAAATATTTCTGTAATGCGTTTGTTTGCCAAACTGCATTACGTAGTAAGTGGTTTGAAACAACATTTGTACAGTACAACTGTGTACGTAAATGTGCACATACAATGACTATCTATTCATTCGCGTAACGTCATGTGACGTTTCGAAAGAAACCTACCTACGAATTAAGTCAAATATGCATATCCACATGAGAGTCGCATATTTTAAAGTTGAAAAAAAGACGAGTGTTAAAAAATTATTACGAAATCGCCAACCTGTGTTTATACAATAATGCTTGAGTGCATTATGTTTCTTATATCTCTTACGTCCGCTAATTACATTTTCTTATCTAATTTATGACGAGTTGTCAAACGTCGTGCGTAATACTCAGAGAGAAAGAATAAGAGAGAAAATACTAACCCATTTAAAAGCCGGTGCCCAGAAGAAGATGGTCTGTGGACCTAAAAGACCACACATTGCAAGTAAGCGTAAATTACAGAGGAACATGTCGTAACAAAAAAGTATAATTTATAATTGCGCGTCAGTTAATTTTTCTCTCAAGTCTTCAAAGACGCTTTGTAAATAAATAGGTGCGAGTATTTCACAAAGAATAAGAAATATACAAAAAAAAAAGATCGGGAAAACGTTATTCTATGTTTAAATACAGTCGTACACTTTTGTGCAGAGAATTACAGAAAACATACGATAATTGTCGTGCTATCGATGTTACACACACACACAGCAATGTATATACGAAATCTTCATCCGCTCGAATTTATTTCTCTAGTACCTCGAATAAATTCGTTAGAACAACTTTAGCATGGAGGAACACGCGAAAAAACTAGCCTCATTCACGTTGTAAATGTTCTGTGAAGATTCATCGGCGTTTATCGGCGATGTGTGTGTGTGTGTATGCATACATGTGGAAAAAGCACTGCGGAAGTAGAACAAACCAAAATGTAATATCACATCAATCCGGAGGGGGGAAAGAGAGTTTAGTCTTTACATAATTTACATAAAACAGTTAAAAAACCAATTAAAAAAACAGACCACTTTTTATTTCGAACGCGTCGCAATTTTTATCAGTAATTTGCGCAATAAGAGAAGCCAAATTAAGGTCAAAACACGCGCGCATGTAACATAATGATGATAAAATAATGTAACGATAGATAAATCGCGCATGCAAATGATGTAGAGCGAATACAGAGCGTGACATTTATTACGCCGGAATGTAGATACGCGAGACCAATTTACGTATGCGACCTTGTGGAAAATGCACTGTAAAGAGCGTTCGCTATTCGCGTGTTTGCTACTATTCTCCCGTCGGCGGGTCGCCAAGTCTTGAGATTAATGATAACAAGATGCGGCAAAAAAAAAAAAAAAGAAAAAAATATTCACGCCACACTAACCGATAAGAAGAGAGAACGAGATAAAACCGCGATTAGAGAAAAACACTTCCGCGTTTGCATTTTTTATAAATTCCTCCTGTAAAACTATCAAACCAGAAAAAGCGTATATAAAAAAACAAAAGTATAAATAATAGTAAATATATAGTAAATACATAAAAAACCAAAACTATTTTCACTCTCGGAAGTGAATTCAAGTTTACCAAATCCAAACTTAGGTTGCTCTGGAATTTAAAACCCATCGATCACTTATAAAAAAAAAAAAAAGAACAAGAGCTTAATTTACATAAATTTTCACAATCCCGGAATAAAAAGAAAGAGAGAAAAAGAAACTTTATTTATACACACAGAACACACACGTCATTCGCGCCACATTTTCCTCATTTCTCCAGCATGTCACAACACATAGTTACGACAGGGGCACACACGCACATGACGCACGTGCCACCTGCTCCCTCACAGTCGAACGCGCGACGCGATCGACCAGATTTCTACTAACCAGCTGGATGTTTCCACAGAGGTTGCAGCTTCTCGGGCACGAACTTGCCGATGGTGTTCATCGAGTTCTTATAGATTACCGACATGGCTCACAGCGGTCGTCGACTCTGAAGATGGACGCGGATCGATGACTTCGCGGACGTAAAGTCGGAAATCGAATGAGATCGCGAAAAACGGCAAGTGGCGGCACGAAGGGACAGTCAGTCCGCACGCTGCGACCGAGAAACGCCAAGTGCGCCGATTGGTCGTGATGCTCGCGCGGTTGCTTCCCTTTGCCTCGCCCCACACGTCGTACTCATCATTTCGTCGCTGCGGGTCGTAGGAACGAATTGGCTCTCCCCGTTGGGAAGCCTCGGAGATTGATGTGCGCGTGTACACTGCGTGCGCGCGCTAGACTTTAAATATTTCGCAGCTAACCGAACTATAACGAAATCTGCGCGATGCGGCAGACGATGACTGTAAGCGACGTAACGGGATGACACCTTCGGAAATGAGGACTGGATCGGGGGTAGATGCGAAAACCTGACCTTCGCGCGCAAATATAAAAGGGATCGATATAGCGTAGAGAATTTTGCCGCATACACAATATAGACTTGAGAAATTTTTTTTTGGTTTATTTTTTTAAAAATATATATCTTGCAGTAAGTTCTAAAATATATAAATTTTTGTATATTATGCGATAAGAAACGTATATAAATTTGTATCGATTAAACATGTATTGCATGTTACAAAATGAATGGGTAATATACGGATATAGATACATATCAAATATTTATAAAGTATAAAAATTTACAAAGAAAAGTGTGTACACACATCTAAAAAAACGTGCATTTTATTATTATTTTTTTTAATGAATACGAATTTCGGTTGTATGTGAAATGTGTTTAAAATCTCTCTGATACGCTGCTCAAACGAACACGACCTTGCGGAAGTGCCCGCTGACATTGGCCGAGAGTTTTAAATCGGATACTCGGATGTCTGCCAAGTTATTTCTTATACGACAATCATGTTTTGCTATTAATAAAACAGTAAATGCTGTACGTGTTTGTATATCAACGTTGTATTGAATAATTCCAAAAATCACGCGTAAAATTTATGTAAATTTATACACTTTTTTTATAGTGCAGCGGACGATGAGAAAAATTGAAATAATTTAAATTTACGTTGCATGCATCTATATAAAAACATCCATATAAAAAACAAAAAATAAATTTAGCCGTACGCGTCATGATGTGTGTACACAATTTTACAATTTTTATTAACACATCGTCTTTCACAACAGTTTGTTCGTAAAATAATATTTAAAATATAAAACTGGTAAATATAAGGTACCAAAAGTGACATCGAACACCGATTGTTGCCATCATCATAAAACCTTTCACGATCATTTCATCATCAATGACTATATTAACAAATCACAATAGTTTTTAATTATAAAAGTATTATTTTCCTAATTACTAAAATGATGTTCTTCTGAATTTATATGCTCAACACAGTAATATGCAATCATATCGTGAAACATTCAAACCTTCTGTTAACATAATTGTTTGACGAGAGCACAGTTTGAGAACTAATTACTTTAAGATAACACTGTTAACAGAAAGTTGAAAGAGTGGAAATTTTGAGATACAAAAGAACTGGTAAAAAGAGAGGTGAAAGATCTTTTATAAGAATTCTATAAAAGAGTTGACGCTTCTTATAGATAACGATAAAAATATGTATACGTAATGATGAGTTTGATCAACATTTTCTGACTCCCACCTCTTTGAGCATTCAAATAAATACAGTTAATTATATAGTACAGTGGAGAACAATCTGAATCACAATACAGCTTCGTTCTAAAAATGTCACTTAACGATACGTTATCACATCCTCATAAAGTAATAATATATATGTGAATCTTATTTATGATTTATGTTAATTTTGTATTATTATGCAATTTTAACCCTAGAACACACATCTAGGAAGTTTTTGAAAACACACGCAACTTCAAAGTCGCACAGTTCCGTCTGTTGTCGAATCATTTTCACTCAAAACACACACATGAAATCAAAATATGCGAGTTAAGAACAAGACCACAACAATATGATTTCGTATTCGCTTCACAATTTATGTCGAAACTGTACGCTTTAGAAGTAAACGCGAATAAAAATCTACAGAGTACCACAGACTCGGGTGTGTTTTATGGTTAAATATCGCGCACTTACACATTTATAAGGCACATACTAAGAATCGTATGTACTTAAAAATCATATGTACTTTATATCGTTGTTTTAATCTGTACAAAAGCTATTTTGTAAGTTATGTATATCACCTTACTTAGCAATGTATACAACTTATTGCATACATGTCTATTTGCACAAGAATACATGTTTGCCATGTGTTTTTCATGTCAGTCTTACTTTCATTAATATATCACTGATATTAAAAGAGCAATATTAAAATTCCTATTTAAACTAATCTTTAAAAACATTTTAGCAAAAGATTCGGTACGTAAGAGAAAGTACGGAAAGATTGGTACGTAAGAGAAATCATTTATAGCGTAAATTTCTCGTCTATTATGTGTGTAAAACTTGCGTGCACACGATTGATTATTATCATTAGCGTTACAATCCAGAGTGAGCTTGAATTTTCGAAAATTTCTTAAATAAAAAAAAAATAGCAGTAAAATATGCTCTTTTAATAAAAGAAAAATTATGTAAATTTTTGTAATATTATATTAAACAATTATAATTATGTTAAGAAAGTCTTAATAATCTTATATATTTACCCACATAACATGGTTTCCGTAAAACGTTACGGAAACGTTTGTGCTACTAACCATGCTATGTGGGTATGCCTAAGAAAAAAAAACAATATTTTTGCATATATGTATATATACGGTATATGTATATATACTCGGATATATAAAAATGTATATCCGAGAAAAAAAGCCCTTTATATGTGTACAAATTCTACATCTAGTATAATTTCATATATGATTTAGTCATACATAATTATTAATGTAGAATTTGTTTATATATAAAATACTTTTTTACACATGTACATACATACATATTTGCATATTATATTTATATAATATTCAAGTTATACATGAAAATACGCAATCAATATATTATTTTTATCAATTTGTACGAGATAAAAATTAAACCGTTGTTTTATTATATTATTGCACACTGTCATACTTTTGATAACACTTCTGTGCTTAATTCAATACATTTGTGTACTATTATTATGCGAAGATTATTAAGATTTTACCAACAATAATTCTTATTACAATATATACTATTAAATATATACTATTTTTCAGAAATCATAAAAGAAATAAAAAAGAATCATGAAAAAAATAAAGTAAAATAAAGTAAAATATGATCTAACGTGTATATGAAAAATTGTTCTAACTCTAAACTATGTGTGTGTATTAACATAATTATATTTAATCGATAGATAAAAAATAGTTTTTGTGAAATATTATTTAGTAATATAAAATACGTAATATAAAAGATATAAAAAGTTAGTCACAAAACTGGGAAAAACATAGAAACCTATAAAATGCAATTGACAATATTATAAATGCATATGAAGAAGAATATGTAGAAAAAAGTTATAAATGGCACAAAACTACACATATATATCACTGAGAATTGTTCTGTTGCAATATATTGCAACAATGTATATAACACCTGATCATGATGTTTCGATAAATGCAAGTGGCAGTAACCGTCTTGTCTTTATATTGAAGTGAGAAGTGTACAAAAAGAAGTTGTGCCTCGTGTTGTATGTTGTAATCTCAAGACAATTAAGATACAAGACAGTATTACTTATTATAAATAACGCACAATATTTTCTCAAGTTTGAAACGTCAATGTAAGAAATAAACATTGTATATAAATATATAAAAGTAATATTTTACTTAGGACGTAGGACATTGTCTTGAGAAAAACAAATAAGATATTCTGCTAAAGGACCGTCTACAATGGAAGTAGGTAGTATAGAGTAAGAAGTAAGGTTCTCGAAGTTATTTCATTTTTGTCTATACAAGTAATTATTTCGCGTTTTTTAACATGTGTTCTTTCATTGGCTGACAGTAAGGCAGTAAGCAGTTTGAGATGGGAATTGTCCATTTTGTTATTCCCGTTGTTACTTCACCGAAAACTAGTTTATTCTCTACTCCTACAACCTTACTACTTTCATTGTAGACTGGCTCTAATGCTCTAACTTGATACCAGTACAAACTTAATCTATGTAATCATACATATGAAATGAAACATGTTGTTTCATCAAAAGAATAATCCTTTTTGTGTGTGTGTGTGTGTGTGTGTCTTGTCGTCATCCATATATTCGTATTAAGTTCACATTATTCTATAATATTTTAGTATGCACTCAAGTCGTATTCTGCATTAACACATTTTGTTGCAGTAATACTGTCATTTGTCACTCTCAAAAAATGACACATTTTGAATAGTGCAATACTGTATGCAAAATATACGACTGTAATCAATCTATAATTACTCAGTTGCTTCGTAATTGATCAAAGTGAACGTACTAATAGATCCGTACATATCGACTGCTACAAATTTAGTAAAATCGGACGATATATGGACCTTTATATCTTGGTTCGCTGGCAATTCAACCAACGCCAGTAACGCTGGTGTTTCCTCATGATTTTTACTAACTTTGTTTCTCCAGTAGCTATTTGTGCTGTTTACATCGATTACTCTTGGTTGTTGCAAATTCGAAACACCGGTATCTACGCTTTGACTGGTAGATAACCTCAAATTTTGAAACATATTCGAACTTAACGAAGGTGTGCTCATACTATGGCCAATGCCCATTCTACTTTGCTTCGTTGTGGGTTTTGAAGCTAGATCCACGTTCCACCAAATTAACTCATCGTTAGTAACCGAAACTAAAATTGAAGCATCAACAGTGGTTGGTGCCCAGGATAACTGTGCAATGGAATTATTATGAAATGATAAATGAGTGATCTCTGTTCCCTTCGTTATATCGATAATCTGCAAAAATAAATAATGTAAAAATTTATACAATGCATATATTGCACAAATTAAAAATAATTAAAAAATCTTACAGCAATTTCTCCCGTTTCAAATCCAACTGCGACATATTGATCATTATGTGAGATATCACAGCAAGTCAGTTTTTGTTGGAAAATGAAGTCAGAATGCTCAAATTTCTCAATTATAAATTCCGACTTCTTTGATAATACATCAAGCTTGAATAAAGTTAAGTGTGTTCTTTCAGTCGCAGTTTTTTCATTAAACAAAATAGCCAGATAAGTCTCATTGTGGCTTAAACAGCTAAATGTTACATTTATAGCCGAGTCAAACAACGACCTAGGTTTAAGTAAGTCCAATGTCGGCTTTGGATCGTCTTCGATATACCGGATAAACCAGATAAATACGTGACCACTTTCTGTTATTGTCAGCACAAAGTTATCACCTACTTTATGAATTTGTGAGGCACATCCTTCTTCGGTATTTGTTTGCAATATGAGCAATTTAATATGATGTTGCGCCTGTAAAAACAAAAAATATATAAACTTGAAGTATCTAAATTTGTGACATTTGCAATGATTAAAATCTACAGGTTCATTGATATATACCTTAAGACTGTCCACATTTCCACATGCTATTATACTGTAATCTTGAACGTTTATCATTTTCAGATACTTGACTGGTTCGTCCAGCTGTACAATACTATCGGTTTTTCCGGTTTGTATATTATACAAGAGAAGATTATGATCTTCTGTAACATATACTATTTTGTTTCCATCAGGAGAAAATTGTAATCCTACTACATGTTTCTCTGACACAGTTTCTGCTATCACTTTATTGTTTTGTAAAATGATAATCTTTGAATCAATCTCTTGGGCAACGATATCGTGCTGATCACGAGGCTTAATAATTACATCTGATAAAAACTTCCTGTTTCAATGCAGAAAAAATATCATAATTAAAAATTTTAGGAATAAAATATAGATATAAAAAAACGAAAAAAACAAAAAACATATGTAAAAAAAATACATTCTGTAATAAAATGCATTACCTTAGCAATTTATCTTGTATTGGCAACGCCCATCTATAAAGTGATCTATTCCCATTTCCGCATATCTAGGGAAGAAGAAAGTTTGATTAAGTTCTAAATGCAAAATAACCTTCAGTTTGATATAATTAAACTGATAGAAGTAAAATAGTTTGATAAAAATAATACGTACGATGTGACCTTCCTCTCGAAACGCATAGGTGTCCAACGATATAACGCGACTTTTATAGCACGCGATCGGTTGATGTCCGGTAAAAACATTTCTTACGTATATAAAACCTGCAGAATCAGCCAATACTATATACTCGCCGTCATAAGTTATAGCTGCGCAAACGTAAGTCAATGCGTCGTCGTCTTCGATAGTTGCTCGTAATTGTTTGTTAAAACTGTGTACATGTGTCTGGTCCCTGTCCCACCACCATTTCACATATAAAGCTTTCTTTTCGGTAACGATCATTAACGAGTCGTTTCTCCTTGGTATATTATGAAAAAATATTACTTTTTCTTTTACTTTTTCGGTCTTTTTGTCTACAGGTAATTGTAAATTATAACAGGCGAGATATTCATAGCTACTGTAGTCGGCCTGTACTGTAGTACCTCTTTTGTTTTGTGCTCTGTACAAAACAAAAGCGCCTGTGGATTCGTCCATAATTCCCAATAATTTAGCATCTGCTGCAAATGTTATCTTTGTTACGAGTTCATTTTCCTCAGAAATATTCCTGAAAATAATAATGTTATAATTATTTAAATAAATTATTATCGGATATATATTTTCGATTGTACGTACAATATAACATTGTGTTTGTGAAACACAGAAACGCCGTTTAGATCCCATATCTGAAAAAAAGATGCACATCACACATTACAGAGGAGTGCACCGTATCGTTCAGCTCTAAGGGAAGGTTTTCTTTGAAATTTCTCTTCTGGTTGCTTCTACTACCGCGCGCCGTACTTTTTCGATCTCCGCCAGCGGCCCGAGATTGAAGAAAAACGGCGCGCGGTAGCAGGGACAGTCGGAGGAAAACTTTCCGAGAAATACTTCTCCTGGAGCGGAACGATGCACTCCTCTGTACATTGTAAGAACCATTAAAATAAAAAAATACACACATATAGTATTTTGTCTTGTTAAAAAGTAATTATTTTGTTACATGTATATCTTGTACAAAACTTACTTGAACCGTTGCCTTATTAGTACACGCAGCGATATATCTATCTTTGTATCCAAATGCCATATCCAAAATAATTTCGTCTTCAACTTTAAATGTTTTTAAGCTGTCATCTAGATCATTGGTCCTACCAAAGAAACCAGACCAGCAAGATTGTTTCTGTTGTGGACTACCAATTGGCGTATAACTTTCGGAATCACTCGTTTCATCATTTGTTAAAAAAAACAGCTTTATTTCACCTGTATTGCTCAATGCCAAGAAGCAATCACCATCCGCAGATACGAGGATTTTTTTAATAGAACAATTCTCATTGAAACCATTGAAGACTTTTTCTCGTTTGGTTACACAATTCCACAAAATTATTTTTCCTACTGTATTTCCAGTTAACAGTACAGTAGGGTTATTGGTAAATGCTGATGTGCAAATATTTAATATTTCTTCGGTTACTGGCATGTTAAAGTGCTCTAGATTTTTATTATGAGATAAATACAAATGGTTTTGTCTAGTTAAAGCAAGCCTTTTTGCAGTATCCGCAACGTAGCCTGGATATGGATGGTTCATTGCGACTTGAATTATATCCAAGCACTTTTTACGTCTATGCTCTACTATGATACTTGCTTGCTCTTGTAAAAATTTCTCAATATCTACCACGTTTGCTTCGCATTCACTTTTGTTACAAGTGATATACTTTCTGTATTTTTTCAGATCCAACAATAAATCATTTAAGCCTGAATGCATTATTTTAGCTTGTATGAAGTCAAAGTCGAAATAAATCTGAAATTTGTCATACAGCTTTGCTTGCTCCAGATGATATCCAATATATGCGAAAATGTAATTATCATCTGGCAATTTTGAAAAATCGTTCTTGCAATGATTGCAATATTTTTCAATGAGATCTTTATGCATTTTCATCAAATCGTCTTGCGTTAGTACTTTTCTTAAATGATATAGCAATAAATCATGTACACCGTAAATGTATATTCTTAAATTGTTATTCCATTTTCTAACTACAAGTGATTTGTGGCACAATTCTAGCATCAGATCTTCAACTTTACCTCTCTTTTCGTTCCACAGAATTTCCAAGGTCTAAACAAGACAAATTATATTATTCATATTTAAAGAAGAAAAATGTTAATAATTTTATTACGTGTGAGAATTACACTACTTTGTAACGAGTCTTCAATACTTACCATTGGAGTTATATTAACATCCTCACTAAACACAGCTAAGCTCTTGTAATAAGTTTTTAAATCTGGTTTTAATTGTTCTATACACAGATCAAAAACTGTACTTTGTTTCTCCAAAAATTCTTTCATTACTCTGTAACAAAATAACACAGTAATACTTTCACTTACACATCACTTAGAAGTTACATATACATACATGTTTGTGTCATCTTTCTTCCTCAAAGATTCCAGATAATATTTCCATCTATTAGAGTTATGTCTCATATCACACTTGAATTCCTCAAACTGAGAAGCAAACATGTCTATGAGCAGTGGCATACCTTTACACTCCTCATGTATTTTCTTTGCTTCTTTTGGCAGTTCATGTATCTCTACATTTAATGCTTGAGCAAATAAACCTAACGTTTCGCTTTCAGTAAATCCACCATTCAACTGAAAATATATATATTTTATTACAAAAGAGAGATAAATAATAAATATATATGTGTGTATATATTTATACAGTATATAATTAATTATGCGATTACAAATGTGAGAAAAGTATTCTAAGTTGTATCTCTTACCCCTATTATCGTACTATTACGTCTTTTTCCTTCTAAAACTTTGATATCAGCAGTAAGAACTATCGTCTTACATTCAAAGTCAAAAGTTGTTATGATTTTTTTATCAATGACGTCATCTAAAATTAGCAAAGCATTACGATTATCCTTTTTATTGAAATGATATTTGAAAAACGGGATCAAAGAATCTTTCTCCAAAGGAGTCAGTGATTCCGGTACAATTTCTACATTTCTCACGTTACGATACAGTTTATTTAATTGAATCACTATCTCCTCATCGATGTGCCTATCGCACGCAAAGTGAATCCAGTAGACTTTGTTCTGAAATAAAATCAGAAAGAAAATTATTAGTCGCGAAAAATTGTTTTTAGTTTTGTTTTTTTATCAGTACATATTTTAATCGTATTATTAAAAAGAACTCATACAGAAAATAAGGTGTTTACTAATTTTGTATCCTTAAGAATATTGGCCACCAAACATGATTTTCCAAACCCTTTCATAGCATGTAGCACAACATATTCGGAAGGATTCAATTGCTGCAAAGCTTCCTTCAACTGATTAGTCTACAAAACAACATACATAATTTATTAAAACTGAGAAATAAAAATCTGGTCATAAAAGCCGGATACCCAATACATAATTTAATTACAGTTTTTTATTTTATACATTTTAGCTGTATATACAGTGCACTTATATATTACGTAAAGTGATAAAATATATTTATACACTCTATGTGAACTTACAGAATTTGTATTTCCATTCGTATGCATAAAGAAGAATAATAAAACTAGATATAAATTCAGAGAGTAACTATTACAACATAGTTATTTCTTTTCGATATATATATATTTATGTATAATAATATAAATAAGAGTGAGTTATAAAGAGAAAAAGTCTATTTTATATGTCGATTGCTAGTACAATATTGAAAGTGAAAAATTTCATTTATAATGATAATAATATGTGCATTCTATACACACAGATGAAAGTATAACTAATATACACCGCGACTTGATTATTTTATCTTATCACCGAGCACACGATCGGAATGATTCACGCATATATTATCTCACTATATAGTGTATCGATATTATATAGAAGAGATAATTATACCTTCTCTTTTCTCGTAACTGTTAAAGATGAAAGAGAAGGACCTCCATAAAAATCTACTTCTTCATTTACTTCGTGATCAATTTCATTGGCCAATGATACCTCTTTTAATCGATAATTTATTTCCTCGCTAAGCCATGGATAGTGATACTCCAAAGCGTGATGAAAAACATTGAAAGCAGTGAGGCCACGTCTTAAAAATGTTAACACAAATGATTACGTTGAATTGTATAGCACTTATTGTAAATTATCGCATTGCTAAATACATGACAAGTTGTGAAAACGAGTTATTCTTTTGATACATACATACATGTATATATGTATATGTTAAAATAATATTATTATAGATTAGTATATGCAATAAAAATAAAATCTAGTACAGTAAAATTAAATATACATCTAAACATAAAGAACACACACATACTTTTTCACTAATTCTATCAAAAGTTCAGCTCTATCCGATTTAGTGGAACCAGTATATATATGTTTTATGTCATTTTCATCTAATATTGATTGTTTTTTGAGCTGCTGTACTATATTGTTGTCTATATCTACATCCTCGATTATTTGTCCTTTTATATCATTCAAAATCATTTCCTCACGTGGCAACCCCATCTTCACGATCAAATTTACTAATCTAAATTATGGCACTATAGCTTATCACATGTATCTTTGCAGTTGTAATGTTTATCTAAAATAAAAACAAAAAACAATTATTTAATTTCAAAGATACTGATAATTATAATTAATATACTTGTTAGTTAAACACAAAAGTTGCTATGTATATATAAATTCTTCTATAAAATACAAAGAAATTATTAAATGTAAAGGTTGAACGTTATTGGTTTTTATTAGATTGTAAAAAATTAGATTTCTGTCTTAATCAAAGAAACAGACTGCACATACATACAAGTAAAATATATTAAAAAATTACATTTTGCGAGACTTGACTATAAAATTATTAAAACATCTATAATCATGAGATTGAAATATTACCTTGTTCTTCGAAGTTCATAACAAAAAAGAAATATTTTGTTATTCTTCTTCTTATATATCTTGAAAATATCCCTGTTGCAGATAAGTATTCTACAATGCTATAAAATCAAAAACTTTTCATTAAATTTTATGGAATCTTTTTTTTATTAAATTTTACTGAATCTTAATGATATAACTAAAAGAGTTAAAAGTAATTACTAATTAATTAACATATGTATAACATTTCTATTTAAATTTAACTACAATTCTTTATTTAAAAAGTTTATCGAGAGATATGTGTAAACAGAATAAGATATTTGATATTTCTTACTTTTAGATTTTTTGTTTTTCATATTTACAAAAAAGTTAGATAAAAAAAATTGATTTAAATGATGTGACTTCAAAGTTTTTAGGCTGGTAATGTCAAATCTGAAAGTTTTTAAATGACAAAATTATTTATTAATTTTAGGTTTTTAAATATAGATTTTAGAGCTTTTTTTTATTTTTATTCTTTCACTCTCTTTATAATTATGCTTCAATTCAATTGTGCTTCAATTTATCAAGAACATAAACATGATAAATCATGAAAATGTAGATATTTAAAATATAAAATAGAGGATCTCAATAAATATATCGTAGATAACGGGATCTTGATTGAAATATCCGATTGAGTCATTTCAACTCCTTTAATTCTTCTCGAGGTGGTTATTTTTGTTTTTTGCAGTTTACAAAAAAATTTCTTGCAATTCTCTCTTGTGAAAAATACTTCTTACTCATAAAAAAGTACACAAAATTATTATCTTAATCGCAAGAAACAGAAATAGCGGTAATAAGAAATCTGAAGAATCGATATAATTTGATCGAACATGTTATCTTCATAGATAGTATCTATATTAGTGGAAGTATTGTTCGAGACGCAATTAATGTCATTTATTCTCAAACAACATTTTCCTCGAAGGAACTAAGAGTGCGCATAAAACAAAAACGAGTTTATCTCGTTTCACACACTTGTAAAATATATTTTGTTGTGAATCTCTATTATAACAAATATTTCTTTCGGATTCTGTACGAAAAAAAAAACATATACAAACGTGTTCTTACTCTTTCCTCCTTTTTCTACTACATATTTAGTTTATTTAAACAAAAAAATGTAATTTATTCATATATATATATAATTTATGCTAGAAAATACAGAGAATCGTACAATGTCGCCATTTTGATATATAGTTGATTATCATTATGGATCAGGAAGGACAAATATTTTATTGTTTTTTTCTTGATTCGCAAACATTGCATACTCGTCTATTTTTTTCCCCCTAACTTTTTTCTTTAAAATTTAGATATGTCACTAACCTGTTTAACAATCCACGTAAACTTCTGCTCTCGAACTGAGCGAGTTCTGATACTCAAGTAGATCTGACGAACTTCACAAGATCACCTTTGTTCACAAATCTGACCGACTCCTTAAATCGTACTAGAGAAATAAACGTACCTATACCACACTTCACAAAAGACTGCAGCAGTAACACCGAGCGTAACAAGCCCGACTATAGTTCCAGACATGCGCCGCGGAGTGCGGTGTGAAGCGCGGGTGAGCGCGGGTAAAGTGCAATGACGCGACGTTGTCAGCGTTCCGCTATTGCCCGAATGCCCGAACTGTTCATCGGCCAAGATGAACGCGCTCATTGGCTCGTCCAATGCACGTGATCATTGGCTTTCGTCATCCATGTTGATCGATGTTTTCTACAAGGAAAAACGGCGGCAAACTGCAAAAGATGCACGCACATAACCACAAGAAATAGTTTGTTTTGAATAGCTTACGCGAGTTGGACGATTTGAATTACAAACATTTTGTCTATTGAATTTGTGAAACACTAGTCATACTACTACAACGAGCAACAAAGTGCAACTGCAAGCTACAAGAATAATGATACAACTGGATGAGTCGCACTGGCTGGTGCTGCGCTCTATAGCTACGTTCAGTGAACTAATTGTACTACTATGACAACCTCTACACACAGAAAAATAACAAGCATACTATTACTAATACTAATCACTTGTATCAGTAAATATCATCTGTATTAAGTATATAATAAGTTTATATACTTAATACACGGGGATGATATTTACTTGATACAAATGATTGGTATTAATATTTACTTGTCATTTTTCTGTGTGTATAGCCCGATTCAGTTTTGCAAATAAGCAAAGAACTAGAATAGAGAATTGGAAAGAGAGAGAGAGAGAGAGAGAGAGAGAGAGAAAGAGAGAGAGAGAGAGAGAG